ACTTGCCTGCCAGCATCCATCTCACCTGGCCCCCGCCATGGCAGGTGAACCCGCACCGTGCCCTCGCTCCCTCTGTAATACGCAGCGGCTTTTTCAGCCGCACGAGCCGTAAGCCGCCAAATGCCACTCCTCCTTTGCTCGTGAGCAACAGGTCAAAATTCCTCAATTAGGTCTCAATGACACTTGCAGAAATGGTTTGAATTTGGCGTTCATTGTCTCAATATGCTTTGCAATCAGATGTCAAGGGTACCATGATTTTGTCGAGCTGCTCATTTTTAATTTTTGTTGACTGGTCAGGGTCAAAGGGGACACCAATAAATTTGCGACCGTGCCTTCCTTTTTCTCCGTTTTTCACAAGTGCCCCCCCATCTTGACAAAACAAAAACTGCCCCCTCCCATGCCATTCACATTTCCCTCCTCTCATCTTAATCATCCCACCTCATCGACAGTCTATCGGCATCCACCCTCGCACAATCTCCGTCAAACTCGCCTGAAATAATTTATTACTTAATGGTCTATAGGAGCTCACACCACCCTCGTGGGACTGTGCTTTTTTTATTGATTTTTATTGTGTGTGTGTGCGTGTGCGTGTGCGTGTGCGTGTGTGTGTGTGTGCTGTGCACATAGCAAAGTATAAGACGCACCCTCGCACAATCTCCGTCAAACTCGCCTGAAATAATTTATTACTTAATGGTCTATAGGAGCTCACACCACCCTCGTGGGACTGTGCTTTATTTATTGATTTTTATTTTGTGTGTGTGCGTGTGCGTGTGCGTGTGCGTGTGTGTGTGTGTGTGCTGTGCACATAGCAAAGTCTATAAGACGCCTAAGGACATCTTGAGAATTTGCGATGCTGTTGAATTGACCCGCGGGTCGAAGAAGTATTTGGTTGGATACTCAAAGGCTAATCGGCCGTTTTGGTGCAATTTGTCCTCTGCTCAGGCCGTTATCTGCGTGTGCGTGTGTGAGCCAAAAACGAGCCTTCCGTGTGGAGTCATTCCCGTGCTACTTAAATGACGTCAAAGGGTGAGTAATGGGTTAACTTCTTTTTCACCTGTAATGCCATTTAATCATGTTTAAAAACACATTTCATTTCCTTCATGATGCAGCTATAGGGGACTTGTGATTTGGCATGTACTCTCTCACTTACCCAAAACATGTTGCGCGTTTTAGTCATTCATTCGGTGTTTGTACACACGAACGATGATGACGCTACAACTGCCCTCATCCCCCCAAAAAAAGAAAAGATGATAAAAAATTTTTGGGTCATATTTGTTAAAACTATCCGCCTGACCTCAGAGTAGCACAAGTTAAAAAAAAAAAAAAAAATCTGCCGTCTCTGGCTTCCTCTTGTCCCTGCAATCCGATTTTTAAGAAACCATTGTGCCCGAGGAAAAACAACCAATCAAGGAGAGAAGGCGTGGCCAGTTTTGTGCACTTGTGCGCATACTTACAATGTGTACACCCCTCAAAGAGAGTTAAAAAAAAAACCCCACATGCTTTGCATGAATATGAACAAATCAAATCACACTCGGGGCCCCCGACCGATCCACACGTTGCAGGGGTTCCTGCGGGGAATGCCACCGCCGCTCTTGTCCATCACGTGCCGCTTCCACGCCCCCTCCCCTCTGTGCTGCTGCTGCTGCTGATGGTGTGATGATCTCTCCACCCTCTCTCTTTCTCTCGCCGGCTCTGTCGGCGCACGTCCTCGTCAATGAGCCACAGAGCAAGGAGCCCACCCCACCCTCCGCCCCCTCCCCACGCGTGTATTTCCGCGCGGGCTCCTGCGCACGTGCTCCCTCTTCTTTTTTGGCTGGCGGATTTCCTCTTTGTCGCATTCCTCCATCCGTCCAGGGAGGGATTGTGTTTTTACTTTTTTTCTTTTCTTTTTTTAAATTATTCTCCTTAGTGGTGGGAATGATCTGCTTTCCGTCTGCGTCGTTTCCATGTCAGCATGGGAACCACCGCGTCCAAAAGGAGGAATTTGAGAAACGACGCGATCTCGTCTGTGACTGCAAAAGTTAGGTGAGTGCCGGCCAGCTTTAGCTCCCTTTTTCATTTCCGTGTGCATGTTTAAAGTTCTAGTCATGTGCCAACGTATGAGCTTGCTCTTTTCCTTGTCCCAACCCAAATGGTGCCCGGGAATTTTTTCTCATTGGGAGTCCAACGCAGGACAACGTTGTCTATTCCGGTCTCGGTGTCTGTGAATGAAGCGTCATTGTGTAATGAAAGACTTGCAGGAGCTCACTGTGCACTGTCAAATAGCATGACTTTTGTTTTTTTTGTTTTTGTTTTTTTTTTTGGGTTGTTGGGGGCTGGGGGGGTTTGCAGTTTAAACAGAATGATGTCAATCAGTCAACTAATAAGGAAGTGATCATTCTCACATCAGTCTGGCAAACCAGACACTTTGGCAGGAGTCCATATAGGCTGATGTGGATTTTTTTTTTTTTAAATATAGATGGAGCATCTCATCTCCATAATGCTGAATCATTCCAATTCTATCAAAGAATGACCTTGACTCCGCATCACACATGTGGGCCGAGATGCTCTTACGTCATCTACCTCATTCTGCTCTCCCTTGTTTCTCGTCTTTTAACCCCGCGCAGCCTTGTTTGCATGCGACGCCGCGTTTGTTTGTGTACCACCTTGAGGGGAAGATGTGCTCCTCATACAGATCGGTGAGTGGCTGCACAGGCTGTCCTGAGTGACGAGCCTGCATTGTGAGGAAGGCGGCGGTAGAAGACAATTTCCATTCTTAAAATGGACTCGAGTGTACCCCGATCGGTTCGTGAGGGGGTTAGATGAGAAATTGTCACACTGATTTCCAACACCCCACTCAGTACGGGGCGGGGGGCGGGAAATCACCTCGTGCTTATTGCTGTTGTCGAATGTTGTGTACGACAACCCAAAACTACACAAATAATATCTCAATGACAATCCCGAGTCTCATCCCGAAACCAGATGTCTGTTGTAGTACCAAAACGAACCTGTAAGAGGTAGCGTGGTGCCACAGGGCTTCCGGTTTGCCAGAAATTACAACAGAATCGTACGGTGACCCAGCAGTAAATTAAATTGTCAATTAAATCGCATTTAAATGGGGAAAAAAAGTGCAACGACAATCTTGGGGGAATATGAAGATACAAAATTGCAGGGGAAAGATTTTCTCAACCAGGAATTGTCAAAATGTTAGGAGGCATTGCAGTTCGCAGCCGTGAATTGTCCCTGTCTCAACGCTCGCCTCTTCTCGCGCACTGAACAAAGCAAATCTTGTTCTAGACACGTCGGTTTGTTGTCTGGCTCACACTGAAGGGCTAAATGGATCATATCTAGCCTGGGTTTGAAATCCATCTTCTGTGACACCAGTCCCGGAACGCTTCTGACTCACTTTGCATTCAGTATGTGCAGATGTTTATTTTGGTGTGTTCTCAGCACAGATCAAAGCACGCAGAGTTTGGTTGTTAGCATTGTTTTTTTTTTAACTTTGATATTCCAATTCCATCGAGATGACTAGAACAGTTCCTTGATTTGTTTTGACAGTCGGCAACAGTTTGAGACACGGGCCAACGAGAAGTCAAGTTGCGGTTCTTTGTTGGCCCGTACGGTCTGAGCGCTTGAATCGTTAGCTTTGACTTTCCATCGCAGGGGATTACCTCGTGAAGTGTGATTTGGAATCTAAATCGAGCAGTCTTGCATAACTCGGCCACAACCGTATGTATGTTTTTCGAAAGTACATTATTATGAAGTGCTATTTTACTCCTTATAAATGCATCACAAAAATTGTATGGGGTGGGGGGGGGCATACTCTGCCCCTCATTCAAGAAGCTCCTGTCATAAAATCTTTTCTTTCAAAGTCGTCAGGCATATGGCTCGGTTTAATTTTCGTGCCTTTAATAGCGTTATGAACCTTGGCTCCTGCTGACGGGGAAACGCTGCTCAATCACATCCAATATTTATTAGCCACTCAACCGGCACATGACCCTGCAAATGTACAGGCAGGCGTGGCGGGCAAAGTGCTTTTCGCTATATTTTAACGCACACTGTCGTGCATTCATTTGGTGATGTGCCTTTAAGTGATGTGGCCTCGCGAGCGATGCCGACTCGAACATCTGAGATTTATTTGGGAGTTCATCGGAGTCATTTTCGAGGTAGCAGTTGTGTGCTGAGTCATTTAACTTGAGTGTTAGTGAAGTTTCATTTATAAGAGGGTGTGCACACTTGTGCAACCACATTGTCTCAGTAGGTTTTACTTTTACTTCCCCTTTTAAAGAGTTGCAGTTGGATTGCTCAAGTTATTGGTCACATCAATGGTCCCCAAAAACTGGAATGATTTATCTTAATCTTTTTTTTTTTTTTTTTTAAATCGCAAAGATTGAAATAGGGTGATGCCGATTTTTTGTATGAAACGAGATTTTCAGTTAAGCCAATTTCTGAGCAGCGCGAGACCTTTTGTTAGGTGTCTGACAGTTGGGCCTTTGCCGACTTGGATAACAAGCAAGTCTTGTAACACTCAAGACCGGTCTTAGTCTGAGGACCACATTTTGAAGATCTTCTCTTGGAAGTCTTGGTCTTGTCTCGTTGTCAATTTTCTGTTGAGAGCAGCACTAATTTGTTATTCTTCAACTTCATAAATACATTCATTTATGACCTGTCCTGAAACTCTGATTGGTATCGGGAACAACATCTGACCAGGGAACCTTTGCCACAATTAATAATTGAAGCTATCCGAGCCTTGTATAAAGCTGATGGCAGCCGACTCCGGACTTGACTGGGAAGCGGCACGGGACAAGCAGAGCATCCAGATCCGCTGTCTTTTTGAACACACAGGAACAGCTACTCCATGGCAAAAAGAAAGTACGTCGTCATGTTTATGGATGGCTGGTTATGAAACACGACGCGCTGGCCTCCAGCAGCTCGTGAGACACAATAAGCCGCTGAGAGCCTTCAATGGAGGCTCTCCAAAGCTGTCACATGGATTGTAAAAAGCTTTTGATGGCGCTCTCCTCCTCCTGATGCAGCCACCCCCCCTCAAAAAAAAGCCATCGGACAAGGGGTTAGCACCGCGAGGGGCGTGACAAATGAAAGGATTTTGCACACGGATGCAAATGAGATATCCTTCGTGTACCCACGATGGTCGACAGGTGTGCTTTTCTTTTGTCACGAGCCTTCGTGTTCGGTTACATAATGATTTTTTTTTTTTTCCTAGAGCTAAAAATTATACGCATTGACGTATAGAAGGAACCCTTTGAAGTCACGTTTTCATCAATGCCTTTTTCATTCCTGAAGCGTCCTCACTTGTTGAACAATTTCACCATCACGTTTTGCTCTCCATATTTTCGTTGTAGATTGACAAAAATGGGTCACCAACGTGCAGACTAAATTTTCAAGTTGAGTCCTTCCCATCAGCGATGTATGAACTCTTTTGTTATCCAAGTTTTTTTTTTTTTTTTTTAATTGGTTAAGCCCCTGTCCTACCGAGCGGCCGACAGCAGCGAGTGTTTTCAAAGGCGGCGAATGTGGTGTTCACGTCAGAGTCTGTCTGGGTTTGTTCAAGGTCGCAAGCATTCACCATACTTGCACAATGTTTGGGTGGGGGTGGGGGTGGGGGGGGGACCCCCACGCAGCAGGCCTCTCATCAGGCTCCTGCTGCAATGCTGTGCGCGTACTAGTAGGCGACCTAATTCAATTAGTCCATCCGAAAGGGTGAGGAGATTTAATCAAAGAGCGCCGAGAGTGAGGCATCTGTTTGCTTGGCAGCGCATTGTTTACAGCGGCCGGACGCCTGCGGGGACATTAGGCCTGATGGCATTCAAACCCGATGGGAGTGTTTTGAACCACAAGACTCCTGTCCTCTCAAGATATATGGTCACGGTGTTAAACGGCAACTGGGAATAGCCGGGAGACAATCAAACGTGAGTCGATAATGTGATGACTTAGTGCCCCCCGAGGCATCATTTATCATAAGTGTCCTTCTGCGTCGACCTGCGATGCACGCGTGGAGCCGAGACGCCACCTCGTCATCCGTCGTGTGCGATACGTCGACGTGCGGGAATTTTAGAACTTTCGTGCGGATGTAAAGGCTGATAACATGACATTGGGTTGATGTTTAAAAGACAAGAAATGATATCAAATGTTATTCTGATGTAGTATTGCAAGTCTATAGTGGTTACGAGGGGGGGGGGGGAATGTGAGGAGAGTTGTATTGTAATGACAAAAGTCACATTTTTAAATAATTAAAATGCTGAAAAAAAAGTCGTAAAGTTACAAAAACGAAGTTGTAATATCGCAAGATTAAAGTCGTAAAGACAAGAACATTTCAAAAGTCTGAGAGCATACACCGCACTTTTTTTTTCTTTTTCCCCCTCCTCCTCCACCTCATGATCACTCCACCGCTTGGTGCTAATACATAGCATTCGAGCTCTCCGAATGTCTTTCATATCAAATTGCCTGTCGAACACGTCTTCCATTTCTCATCACGGAGTAAACCGAAAAAGAATTTGTTTTAATGGACGGACCGAGAGGCGCCGCGCTCGCTCGGTTACATTCTCCATTTCCTGTCACATAATGCACGATGATTGGCGAGCGCTCGGCGCCATTGTTTGCTCAATTCCAATCAACCCAACCTGCTGAATAATACATCGCGAGGTGCGGGACTTCAGACGAACACCTGCTGATTAGCGCGGCTGCCGCGTTCATCGTGAGGCTCCATGGATGGGGGCCCGCTTGCATGTCGCAAACACTTCACCGTTGCCGGTTTTGTGAGGACATTGTCAAGTACTCATGACCCTTTAATCCTATTGCGCTCTCGTAAAACTGTCGGGTCAAAAGCAACTCAAATTGGGTGAAATGGATCACCCCGGTGCTGGTTCCAAAAGGGACTGAGCCAATACTGGGTGATTGATACCTATTGATGCATTGGGTCGAAGATTTGACCCTGCATGTTGGTCAAGATTGTGATCTAAGAAGGGGTCAAATTACTCCTACGGATTAGCTAAGGCTGTTCTTTTCACTTTTAATGCCTTTATATATTTTTTTTTGTCAGAAACGGGGGGGAAGTTCGTTAACTTCGGGTCGCTGAAATATTAGAACTAGTTTTTGTCTCTAAAACGTGTATTTGAATTGATGTCGGCGTTCACTGTTACGTCCTCTTTCACGCCATTTCATTTAATCCCGCAAAGGAGCGTTTGTTCACTCACTGCGTCCCGAGAGGACTCCACAGAAGTGCAAAAGAGTGCGAGTAGAAGACACAAAGAAGAAAAATGTGCGTTTTTAGTGGTCGCCTGATGTGCAATTCGGCTTGGCAGGTCAAATGGGGAGTTGGTTTCAGTCATCCTCAAAAGGGAAGATACTGCTGCTGTTATCCGGGTGGGTATCAATACAGACTTGATAAATTATATAGATAACGCCTCGAACAACATTTCAGTAAAAAGAAACATGTTGACTAGCAACAGGTTTATTAGTCAGGCAGTATTTGGCGACGCTAGTTACTGCTCACTAGCCGCTTAGCATCTCGTTGTCGAAACCAACAGGAATCGTTTACGTTGAGGACTAAATCAGCGGTTATGAAACCAGCAGACATTCAGAGAGCTGCTTTCTGCTCGCCGTTAACTTAAAAAAAAAATGCTGAAGTTCAAGATTGTGTAGTGTGGCACCCCGAGCGCTTATTCCGATGTTTTGCACGATTTTTATTTGTATTACTTAATGAGTATGTGCATTTGTGCGTACCGCAGTTTTTGGCTCAATATAAGTTGTACTTAATAAAGATGATTGTGGCTGTTATTGCTTGTTAATGTCAAGAATAACAAAAAACTGCACCTTAAATCTAAATGCACATCAAAATTTACTGCTTGGCGCCAACCGCTACGTTTTAAGGAAATTGGTTAAATAGTTTTTAACCAACAAAGAATGGAATCGGAGAATTATCGCATGAGAATTGCTGGCGGGTTTTATTAATATTAATCGAGTTCTAGACCGTACCCGCTTTTCTCATTTACTCCTTCGTTCCCCATTACAATAATGGACTGTTGTTCCTCCAATTATTGCGCTTGTATATTTCCCGTTAGTGAAATGGGCATTCTTCTGTTCTTTTCGCCCGTTTGTATCACGCTGCACGGCAATGACGTCACTCCAAATACAAAAAAATGTGTCTCACCATCAAAAGGGGTGTGTGGCTTTTTGCAGAATGGAGAAAGCCGAAAAACAAAATATTTATGACCTCCCTTCTGCTGTAAATTGAGGTCATGCGTTGGAAGTGTTGCCTACCTGATACCATTCACCCTGCGTCCTCCCCCGCTGTCCCTTTTTTTTTCCTCTCTCTCCCCCTCTCTCTCTCTCTCTGAGGCTGCCTGAAGTATGCAGATAAAACAGCTGCATCTTAATCTGTGGGTGGCGTGAGCCTACAAAGAAGACAATTAGGTTTAGAATTTGGACTCAGCTCACCCGACTCTGGTTCTCTTTTGCTTCCGGTGTTTGGCAGCTCTCCGTCCAACACACCCATCAATTGATGGGTTTACATGTGTGTGTCCACAGAGCAGCACGAGCATTTGGAGAGTACCTGTCCCACACACACCTCGACAACCGAAACGGATCAGGTCAGCGCCTTTTTGCCGTCCAGACCTTCCGTCGTTTCGCTCTCCATTGCGGTCGTTTCATCCCTTCCCCTTCATTTTGCCAGTCACAGAAAAGCGAGGCCACCATCTCCTTCACTTCCACAGAAGCAATTTCATCCCCAACTTCTTTTCAGCACTTTGGCTCCTTTGATCTTGAATGTGTATGTTGGATCTTGACTAATGGTCTACCTTCCCTTTTTTTTTTTTTTTTTTTTTTTGTAATTTTAGCTCATCTCCTGTGTGAAACCTCGGTCGGAGCTGACCCAGAGTCGCCAACCGAGACCGCTGGCGCCAACAACAACAACCACCTTCATCTGTGCTCAGACAACACCAAGGACCGGAAAGATAGCTCGCAGGACATAGCGCTGAAAACTTCTGTGGGTCTACACCGCCAACCGCCTCCGTCCATCCCCGTTTCCAGGAAGCCGGCGCGGTTATCCCTCGAACGCAGCTTCTCAGCGGAGGAGGACAAGCAGAAGGGCGTGGAGGGCACTCTGCAGCCTGCTCGTGTGTATACCATCACCACCCGGCACGGTATGCTGATGAGTGGCGGCCGGGGCAGCAAGGAGAGCCTCGAATTGGATGTCTTAAAGGAGAGGTCAGGGAGTGGCGGAGTGGGACCCAAAGGTAGCGGTGCCGGCGGCCACGCAACCTTGATCCAGCCCTCCACGTCCCCTTCGTCCTCCTCGTCGTCGCCGACCCAGTACCACCAAAGCGGGAGCGGCCGTGGCGCCGGCAGTTGCGGCGGCACCCACCATCACCACAGCAACCACCACCACCACCACACGGGGCCGTCAAGCAGCAGCGGAGGGGCCTGTGGGCCGAGCGGAAGCGGTAACCAGCAAGCCATGAGCGTCCCGGGGTCTCACTCCCACCACGCCGCACACCACCACCACCACCATCACCTGGCTCAGCCCCCCCTGCAAACCTCCGTCAGCGCCCACAACATCCGCAGCTGGGGAGACGGCGGAAAAGCGGAGGCAGAATGTAGAGGGCTGGCCTGTGAGTCCTGCAGTGCTGTCCCCTCTCGGAGTCAAGGATCCCTGGACCTTGAAAGTGCATCCCGAGAGCCAGGCAAGCAGCACCGACGCCTCGAGAGGATGTGGAGTGTGGACCGGGTGACTGGGCTGGAGAGAGGTGAGGGGGGGCGGTGACACACCGAAGAAGAGAGGCACTAAAATACAAATCTGTTTGGAATTGGGTCAGCGCTTCAGAAGACCCCGTCGTGGGCTGTGTGCTTCAGACCGGTGAAGAAATAGCTTTTGGGAAACCTCTTAGCGGATCGTGATTCACGGGCAGAAGAGGCCGAGCGCTGCGGCAAAGAGTGGAAAAGCATGAGTAATCGGACCCACCGACAAATATTTATGGTTATTGTAATTAATAGCTCAAACCCGATACCAAAACGCTGGGATGTCGATTCCAACTCATCCTTCCAAACATGTGCGCCCCCGGATGGGGGCATATACAGTATGGCCCACGACCAAAAAAAAAAAATACAATAAAATAAAAATACTAATGGTATTTAATTATTTTCGATTGGGTGGTACAACATGGCTCCAAACAAAAGCGAGATACTGCTAATCCCGATGCTAAAATCGTGAATCAACACCTTTCAAACCGCGATAACGCTGGCTATTGTGTTTGCTAACATTTCGTTAGCATGTGCTAAACTATGCTAGCGTCACTTCTAACACGACCTAGCCTTTTTGTTTATTTATTTCTTTTTAAATTATTATTAGCTGTTAAGGAAAAGGCTTTTCAATATCTCTTTCCTCATTGGTCTGATACACACTGGGGCTTTAATGTTGGCTGCAACACGGTGACCTGCATATTGCTGACTTTTTGTCTCCTTGTGTCCCTTTTTTCCTGCTCTCTCTTCTCGTGTGTCTCCTCTCTCTCCATTTGTGGAGTGCTGGACTGTGAAGTGCTGGTGCCGCTTTTGTGCTTTCATATTTCAAACATATTGCCTTCACGTGCAACCTTTTTTTTCTTTTGGGGGTGTGGGGGGGTCATAATTCTGCTCGCTGCTTATTGTATTTTATCTGACCGTTTTTTTTTTTTTTTGTCTCCTACCGCAGATGATGCGAACTGGTTCCCCAAGGAAAACATGTTCACCTTTCAAACGGCCACAACCACCATGCAGGCGTGAGTGTTTGAAGCGCGCGCCAACGCGCATTCGTGATTAACCCTCGTCGTTGCAACCTAATGTAAATGTTATGATACCGACTACAGCCTTAACATTACCAGCGTGTCGTTTTTATAGGCTTTGAGATGGATGTCCCACTCTGCTTGCCAGTGACTTTAATTTTCCAAAGCACAAATATCCGTTTGCGGCACCTTAAAGCTTGGCCGAGGAACGCGATGCATCACAATAAATATGTCGTTTCGATTTATAGTGCGATTATATTGTATGATATGTTTTCGAATTGTATGAAATATTATTGGAGGGGTTTATTTGTACGGTCTCCTTTGGTAGCACTTTCTCTGATGCGTTCGTGGGTAGTTTGACACAAAAGGAACATTTGTTCACATTTATTATTTTTTTTCATGTATTTTAGACTGTTCAAAATATATTTTTTTTATCAGTTAGATGCTCGTTAAATCCCGCTCAGAGTAAATGGTGAAATCATACAATCACTAAATGGGTTTGAATGTTATTGAGGGGTCAAACTAAAAAAATCTTATGACACTTTCCTTCTCTTTCTGTCTGTGTTTTTGTAGACTTGATGCACCCTGATGACTTTTTTTTTTCTCCCCCCCTTCTCTGCTTGCATGCTAATCAAAACTGGGACCAACAACTCAGGATATCGTGAGTATTTCTACCCTCATTTGCTGTTTGTGTGTGTGTGTAATATAGATATTGATGAACTGCTGTTTCTTAACCTTGACATCAATCATTTAAACTTCATCCTTGGCCCGGCCTCCTTGATTTGCCGCTAACCAACTGACCATAGACGAGGATCTGTTTCGTAGTGGACAGCAGACTGTGCTACATCTGTGCTAGCTAGCCAGCTAGCACAGAAAATATACAGCTACACATAAAATATATTCCATCCATCCTTTCTCTGAGCCGCGTAACCTCACTCGGAACAATCACAGGTTATCTCAAGTGTTCCGCTTGTTCTCTTGCCTCATTGACCAACGTGTGGTTGTCATTTCTTTCTTAAATATCAGATCAAGCGCAGTTATTTGTCTGGAGCAGGACACAAGGCAAAAAGAGAACTTCTAAAAAGATATCATTTTGCATCCAAAGAAATCAGGAGAGATTTCCCTGTGTTGTGACTGTCGTCAACGTATGAGACTCCCTTTTTGAATTGAATTGCCGAAATAACATCTTGCGAGATATTCACATTTATTGAGGCACACCTTTTTAATGGTATAAAAAGTAAACATTAGCAAAACAAGCATGCCGTTGTGTCGACCACGTATCTAACAAACGGTACAAATTGAACGTAATGCCTTTTTGAACAGCACCAAGCCTGAACATTTCATGCTGTCCTCCAGTGACTTCTCGCTTCCACAAGATAAATGCTGAGGGATTATTGATAAATGGATCAGGTCAATACGATCACAACGAACCGCTTCGGGATTGTCAAAAGCAATCTCCTTGCACCAGAGTTGCCATCAGCCGCTGAAAATTCGATCCCAGGGGAACCTCTTAGGTTGGCCTCAAATTTACTCTGGGAAATAATGAAAATACAAACAATCCACCCCAGTGTTCAAGTGTCACCAGATTAGGTTTTTTCACATTCTCCATTCTCCCAACTTTAAAAGTATGTCGACCATTGTGATGAGGAAAAAAAGTCATGAATTCTCCTTACCACAACGTTGATACGTAACTCTGTGGCACTTGCACGATCCGAAAAGCAAACCACGCTGTGAACAGAGTTCATCCCGCGCTGCTCGGTCAAGTGAGGCCTTGTAATTAACTTGCGTCACATGATACAAGTTTTGTGCGTCAATCAGGTCAAATGTTTCCTTCAAAAAGCAACAATCAGTCGGATGGGAATTCGACAAGCCGTCGTGATAACAAGCAATTATTACCAAAGGCATATTTTAATTGGAGCCACTGGCAGGGTTCGTTTCCGCCCGCGCCCGCCTCGAACGGCTGCAAATCGTGTTCACCCGAACGTGTTGATCACTGTTGAACCACACGTCGCAAGTGATGCGTTTCGCAACACGGTTGACACATCGCGACGGTGTCAGCCGCAGAGAGTCGCGTTGGGATCATCTGTTCGGCGCTGTCGGTCCATCTGCCTCCAACTTTTAGTTTTGGTAAAGTCGAGTAAGCTGATGATGACAGTCGACGCTACCTGCGGACGCTTTAGCTTTTCCTCCACCGCTAAACTAAAGCCCGCAGCTAAAGACCCTGGCATCAGCTTCCATCTGCGCTCCCCCCCTTCGCGATGCCGGCTTCTCCCTCTTTTATCCCTTAAATACTGTGCCACATCCTGCCAGGGCTTTCCGGGGATTTGGCCCCAGAAAGAGGAGAGAGAGGGAGCAGGATTGAGTAGAAGTCAACCAGAGGTTTTGCATGAAGTGTCCTGTCGGGCTTTGCTTTTGCACTGTTTGCGCTCGTCTGCTGGCACTGATATTCAAGGCTGAGTCTAATCTGACTAAAGCGAAGAGAGGAAGAGGGTGACGCTCTAAGCGGGGTGTCACACTCTGTGTTTTGTGGGAGAGTTGACCACTTACGGATGCGACATACCAAGAAAACCAATTTCTTTTATTTTATTTTTTTAGCTTCAGTTTCTCTTAAGTCATTCAGTACCAGCCAATTATAGACCAAGTCTGAAAAGACATTTAAAAACGTCTTTGGGAGTGAATGAGTTTTAACAGCATTGCGCAGTCGAGATAAATCATTTGTAGTGATAAGATTTTCTGGTACTTTATTTTTGGGGCTCAGAAGGCACACTTAAAATCTTGAAATTGTCTCAAAAATCAGCGCGCCTGATGTACGGATGTTGGCTTTTCAGTTCGTCGTCTTTAAACGAGTTTGACACCCCTTTATGTCATAAACTGTCCACTGTAGTAACCGCTGTCCCTGAAAGGGTTAAAGTCGACCAAATCCAATAGTTGGAAGGAAGCCTTTCAGTTTCTCAAGATGGTAGAGCGGACCCAACCCCTTTTTGGAAACACCTCTTAAGTTTGAGCTTCACACGTGAGTTAGGGCGACGAGGACAAAGTAACACGTGGAAAACACTTTGGCGAGTGGGTGACATCAGCGCCGGCGTCCTTTAAAAATGGTCCCACTCGGGCTCAAGATGCTGTGTCACACACAAGAGCAGATGGGACACTTGACACCAAGCGAGCGCCACTCAATCCGTCTGCGGCGTCGCTGTCATCCATCTGTGGTGTGGATGTGCGTTGCGTGTGCTTTAATCAGAGTGAGTGGTCACAACAAACTTGGCGCAACACTGGAAACTCCACTGCTACCTGACGTCATCTCTTTCGGTTTTTGTTACCTTGGCTGAAGTGGATTTTCTTTTTGTTCTGTCAGGACGATGCACAACGGTGTTATATTTAGGTGCCAATCCGTTCCAATTACTGTCGATGTGTCATGTTTTAATTGGCCATGCCGAAGATTCCATACAAAGTGTCCTTTTTTTTTGGTCATTTTTTTTCTTGCCACTTTGCGTCCTAGTTAATTAGTGTCTTCCTGGACAGGCGCAACTTAGGCCAAGGACGAACTCATCCAATTTGGGGCACGTCCAAATAGATTGGCAGTTTATTACTTTCTTAATGTTTCTTGCTGAAGACAGATTTCTTTTTTTTTTTTTTTTAGGGAAGGGAGGGGCTGAACATTTTAATCGAATTTCGTTCTATTCATATATTCACATTTATTTGCGGTGATAAAATGTATTCAGACACGGACTTTTCTGAAAAGTCAGCCATATATCGCTGTATCGTTAAAATGGACACTGAAGGATTAATGGCGTCGTTAAATGATAGGAATCGCCGACATTTTGGCAGACTCGTCTTCTCGTTCAGCGCTTGTCTTTATTCTGCATGTCATTGCACTACAGGCGGCGGTTCCTGTTTTAAATGTTTATAAGATTCATTTGTGATCATATGCTTTGCTTTCATATTTTCGTAATTGTGTTTATAATGTGCGTTACAATTGAGCATATTTAGATTCATGATAGAGATGCACGTAAAACTTTGCAAAAAGAGCATTTGTCTGTGCAAGGAAAATAGGATACACCCTTCATATTGGGAAACGTGTGTGTGTCTGTGTGTGTGTGTGTGTGTGTGTGTACGATTTCTGACGAACATAATGAGGCCACTTTTCGCCAAACTTCGAAACAACAAAGAGTTTAATCGCAGCCTGCAGGCGCTTTATCATGCTGTTATCCCAGCATGCTTTATCACCTCCCCCCTTTGATGCTACGCGTCGTCATGTGTAGCAACCTCGAAAATGGGAGCATATATATATTTTTTTTAAGTATATGGTCTCGAACATCAGCCTTCATCTTTGCCTCACTTCTGCTGCTGTTGTCAGTTGCACTTTGTCTCGCTATGCTTACGGAAATTAAAGGCGTCCTTTCAGTCCCTGTCAACCGGCAAACGTATTATCTCAACAGCAAGTTGCAGTTTTGAACTGATAGCGGAAGTTATCGTCATTGTCAAAGCTGGAAAGACAAATCTTGTCGATGTCACTGAATGAAGTATAGACTAATAAAGGAGATAAAACATGGAGGACGATTCATCGTGAGAAGAGATAATGAAAGTAGTGATTTTTAAGTTTTTTTTTTTTTTTTTTTTTAATATTGATTGAATTGATTGATTTCAATTTAATTTCATCTGTGCATGAATGAGTTTGGTTGAAGCCACCGCCCGTAAAAATCCATCGATGCCGTGAGATATTAGTGATCCAATGTTTTTCGAGATACAAGCCACCTAATTTTTGTTTTCTTTGCTTTGTCATCCAATAATTCAACATATGAGAACTGCATGGTGGCAGTTAACTCAATTTAATTCGCAAAAAGCAGCAGTTTAGCGGATAATTTACACTTCTTCAAAAAAGAGGCCACTCCCATTTGAAATTTACTGTCAAACTAAACATAAAACAAAGAGGCTTACATCTTGTGTGTTTAAAACAACGGCATAGCATTTCCTTTGCATAGTCCGTTTAGCCTAATGCTAACACACAATGCAAATAGCTATTGGTGGGCTAACAATTAGTATGTGCTACAGAGTGGTGCTATTACCCTTTTAAGCGACAGCTATTTTTAACACAGTGGAAGCAACACGTCGCAGATTTTCTAACAAAATTCACAGGCATGTATTCCTTATCATCTGCAAAGAACAACACTTACTGTGGCTGACTGAGAAGTGGCCATCCCAAGACTATGCTTGTACTCTTACACTGCCCCCAGGTGGCTAAAATGCACGCTTGTTACGAGGCAGAATTCTTTGTGCTTATCACAACTGTACAAACAAATCAAAGTGAAAAGCAACATTTCATGAATTCCCCTACGTGAGTCATTTTGTCTCCCTGGAAACTCCACTAAAAAAATTCTCACTCCGTCCCTGTCTAGTTCTCGGTAAGAAAAAAAAAATCCTGTATTTGCCAACTTGGTTCCAAAATTCTGTTGAATTTCAACTACGTTGAGCACGTACGTTTTTCACGAGTTGCATCATCCTGTGAGCCTAGTGAAGATCAGCGGCTTAGAGAATGGATTTTGCCCAGAGGTTACACGCAAGCGTGAACACTTGTTTGTCTATGGGTGAATCTCGTTTTGCTTAATTGCAGTGTTCCTCACTCTTATGCGTCAAAAGTGACCTGAAAGTTGTTCACGTGGATTTGTTTCAAATGTCTCAAATGCTCATCGCTGAGATTCGGTTAGGTATACATTCTTTATCCTCTGCGGGGAAAAAAGTATAACTAAAGTTGACTGAGGTGTGACGGTCTCTCTGTATATATTGGTATACTGCCCCCGCCAGAAATGACAGCACAGTGTCTATTGAATTGAAATTTAAAAAAAAAGTGAATTATTTTGATCGTGGATGTTTTTTATAAAGTGAGATTTAGCAGCTATTTTTTTTTTCTCAGGGGGCTGGACCAGATCAAGCGAGGCGCAAAATTATATTTTGACATTGTTGCTTCCAAGTTTTGAAGACAATGAATGTTTGGTCACGTGCTATCAGCAATCGATGAAACTTGAAATTGCTATCGCAGAAAAACCCTCGACTCGGTTCCCCTTTTCGAAGAAGAGACGCTTTTGTGAAGAATGAGGCTTTCCTCTTGGCCGCTGTCATTCCATGAATGAGTCAACTGCTCTTTACCGCCCACCAATGACAAGAACTTTACCCACAATAATGCTCGAGACTTAATAATGTCTTGTTTTGTCTTTCAACCCTTTGTTGTTATTGTTGTTTCCCCACCCACCCGCTTCCTCTGCACTTTATGCTGCCCTTAAATTTGACATTTGGCGGCCTCCTCCTCCTCCTCCTCCTCCATGGTTTCTCTGCCCAAAAGGAACTTCCGGAAGCATCTTCGTATGGTGGGCAGCAGAAGGATTAAAGCACAGAGTGAGTCAGATGTGTGTGCGTGCGCGCGTCTGTGTGTGTGATTGATGCGCAAATTGTCCGTTATTGTTCACCTCGCCTTCATCCGTGTGTGTGCGTTCTTTTTCTGTTTACCGCTGGCTTCGGCAAATGTGAGGCTGCCAATGTTGTGTTTGGGGATTTTGTGGAGTTCCTGGGTTTTGGTATATGCGTGTGCGCATCCCAGAAGAAATGCGTGCCCGCCCCGTAGGTGGTCTTTTCCTGTGGCTTCACTTTGAATGTTTGTTTTTAGACTCCAGATATTCTAAGGAAGAGTTTGAAGGTTGAGTCATAGAAAAAGGATGTGTGTGTGTGTGTGTGTGTGTGTGTGTGTGTGTGTGTGTGTGTGTGTGTGTGTGTGTGTGTGCGCGCGTATGTGTGTGTGTGAATTGGGAAACTGGTTGAACTCTCTTAATAAAGGAACTCGTTGAATTGTTTGCTAAAGTTTGTACCGTATTTTCTGCACTACAAGGTTCTTCGGAGTATAAGGCGCACCTTCAATGAATGGCCTATTTGAAAACTGTTTTCATATATCAGGCGCATAGAATAGAAGTCACAATAGTGACTGCGGTTGTGCTATGCATCCACTAGATGGAGCTATGCTAAAGGGAATACAATACAGCTTTAGATAGACATCGAGCGCTTTCACAATCGCTGCGGCTATTAAAAAAAGTGCTTTACAGAACATTTAAAATACAACATCCAAGAAATCTGAATATTGCTCCTTATATAGATGGCGCATCGGATTAGAAGGCACTGCGTTGGCTTTTTGTTGCTAATGAGCACGCAGAAAACAAATTCTGTCAATTTGGGGTTAGCATCTTTTTATTTTCCTCGCCTAAATGCAGCATTCCCTCATATTGTGGCTGCGGGCATTGATTTACGGTGATGCACAGAGCAGCAGGTGTTAATTAGAGCCATCATAAACATGCTGAATAATGCAACATTTTATATCGTTAGGCTAATCGCGTAATTGCCTGAGTCATTTTCGGAATGTTTCGGGCAAAAAAAAAAAAAAACCCCAAAACAAAACAAAAAAACAATCCTGCGCTTTTCCGAGGGCCATAAAGGCATGCGTGGATGAATTTGGTTTGGAAGAGCTCAATTGAAGGAATGTGCCTTTTTGTCCGTCGTGTGTGTGTGCGTGTTTTCCCAGTGGACGTTCGCTTCATTTGTGCACTTGTAGCCGCATTTGCCTCTGCACGTTCTGAGGTCGCTTGTGGGTTCCAAAGTGCGCGTGTGTGCGTGTGACAATCTCTCCCCCCGCTTGCACTAGCGTTCGCTGAGCGTAGATCGAAGAGTTTCAGCCGCTCCTGGAGTGACCCCACCCCTGTCAAGACTGACTCTCCTCATGAACCCAGAGACAGTGAGTCCACGCTGCATGGACACACATACACATTGACATCACCCAGACGATTGTGAAATGGATAGCTTTCCAAAAATGATTCAAACCAGAAGTGAAAACGAGTTCAAATTGAAGTTGAAAAAAACGATTTTTGAAAAAAATGATTTTCCGCAACAAATTGTTTATTGTTCCACCCCAATTATTTTCTATTTCAAAAATACTAATCAATATTAATCTCTGCCAACCACGCATCCTCACAGGCAGAACAATCAACTGCTCTCCGACAAGAAGACAGAAGCTATTGTAATCAATTTCCAATCAAATTGTATATCCGTATCTGCTTTTTTTTTTTCCCCCCCCCTCATCTTTTTGTCGAGTTGTGTGCCGTGATATATATTTTTTTGAATGTAAAATGTGTGCCTTGGCGCACTCAAGGTTGCGAAACTGTTTTTAGACTATCTGGTAGCCTAAAGATATTTTATGAACATGGATGGATGCAGGCAGACACACACGCACACACACACACACACACACAAAGTACATGAAAAACACACAAACTCGCTGTCTCTGCTGCCCCTGTCAGTCTGTGTTCCTTTACGACCCCAATTCAACTTTGTGCTGCCCTCGCTGTGAGTGTCTCCCAAAATGATCTGTGTGTGTGTGTGTGTGTGTGTGTGTGTGTGTGTGTGTGTGTGTGTGTGTGTGTGTGTGTGTGTGTGAGAATTTTGATCCAAGAATGTACGAGTCTAATCTATTGTACGTGTGGATCGCTGGTTGCATTCTACCGCTTGTCTTTGTCCGTTGACGTCTGCGTCTCGTGTTGGTGGTGGTTTTTCCGTTTTCTCTCCACGTCCATCTTCCGTGTGTCTCGTGTGATCGCTGTTCGCATCTGAGCGCAGTCGAATGTTGTGCTAATGTTGAGTTGTCTCTCTTTCCCGAAGAAAAAGGTGTTGGTATTCGCTGGAGGAGTCACAGTCATGGTGTGGCTATTATTGTCTCCTTGTCCATTTTTGCTAATGTGTTTGTGCACTCTATGTTTGACCCCCCCCCCCCCCCCAACGCCCACCCCACAAAAAACAAATCATCCATCTATTTTCTACGCCACTTATTCTGTTCAGGGACGTTGAATAATGTTCTGCATCAAAGGCTAGAAGGACCCCACCCAAAATTGCTCATGTAGCCTGCTAAAATGGCAAACGTCACATCACTCCAAGTAGCTCACAGAAAAAGAATCTTTGCTAATTCTGGAAGATCGATTCAAATACCTCCAAATACACCGCATAACGCTATTTAAACTTAACTGTCAAAGGGGGAAGAAAAAGTCAGCTAAAAAGAGCTAAAATTGGATCATGTTGGCTAGAAGAGTACGCTAGCATAAAGCTAGCCTTAAGCTAAAAGAGTAAAAGTGAAAATGACACTTGTATGCTGGCTGCTCAGACATTTCTGCCTCAAAGAAGTTTAATGTTATTCTTTAACAGGATACTTCCACAAAATGATCCGTTGCATTTCAGCGAGACTGAACTCAAAGCACGCAGTCGTCACACAGCGATTTTACAAAACGCAGATGAATACATTCACATATTCATTTCAGGGCTCCAGTTCACTGTTGTTCATTCGACTGTTTAGTTTGAATCCATTTAATAAATACTTCATTCGCTGTACTCTCTCAACGACACTCTTTGCGTTTAAATGAGGTCGACGTTCCTGAAGTGTCGTTTTTTCAGCCTCGTAGGAGCTGAATGAACGAGGAACAAACAACATTGGAGGGTAATGATGAGGAAAGAGCATTGTGGAATTCACTCGACTCATCTTGTCATGGTGGTGATTAAGCACTGCTTAAATGCTGTTTGGGTTTCACGATTCGCGAATCACATTTCTATCAAAATGCATTCATAGTTCTTCAGTCGCCGGTAAATCAGACAAAGCTGCCGTTCAATCATTTGTGTTCATTTCCAAATGTCCTTCAAATGTCCCCTGCCATTGAGCACAATAATATGAGTCTGATTTCGGAATATCAAAGAATGACTCATATCATATTTCGTAATGAATCAAAACATGTCGTAAGTTCCTGTTGTGTTGTGTCACAAGGTCAAATTGAGTCGAAATAGATGCAAAACATGGCAGTGCCTGCACCCCTGTGATGTTCAAAATAACTCTGTGATACATCTCGGTTTTGCGTTCTTTCATCCATCAGTTTCTGTCTGACACAAAAAAAAATAATTATGAGACGTTTTATGATTCTGTGCGTGATGTGATGATAAAAATCTGCTTCCTCTCACCATCAGTCATTCTTTTTCCACATCCGACAGCTGTCTCTGCGTTTTTGCCATCTGCCATTTTCTAACATCAATACCTCCCATCCATTAAGAACCTCCCCCTGTGGGTCACTATTCCGCACCTTTCGAATATGCCCTCGCCCGACATAAGGCACTTCGTGAGTCTTGTCTTTACCTCCTCCCGCGTTTTGATGCTCAGTGTGCATTCTACTTTCCAAGGTGGGGACCTGCAGACTTCCTGCAGCACCCTCGACGAAGGCGGCGTTGATGAAGCTGCCGACTGGGAGGAGGAGAGAGAGATGGAGAGGCTCGCCTGCGAGGGAGATGACTTTATACCTCCCAAAATCATGGTGAGATATACGCTAGGACACTGGCTGTACGATGCTAGCGCAGTGGAGCCTGGAGTTACCAACATCCCTTTTGCAGAACAATTCCGGTTACGTGTGAAATTTTTCATCGAAAAATGTCCTCTGTTTACATATTAGTTTTGGTGTACAAATATAAACTGAAAACTTATGATATGCATCCCTCTGCTGCGTAATGGGGAAAGCTGTATGTAAGCATATGTCGGCGGAAGTTCCACCGCCGCATCCTCGGTCGTCCAATCACAAATCTCAATCCGGTCCCGTTTGTGAATGATGTGGTAGCCTCACAGAAGTCCTCAAAAATACTATTTACTGTGTGTGTGTGTGTGTGTGTGTGTGTGTGTGTGTGTGTGTTATTTATTAAAATATAGTGTCTCTTTAAGATTACAAAAGGGTCAATTCTCAAAATAATCAAAACAAATGTGTTATGAGTGGGGACAGATTAATTGCATTTCCATTCGTTTCAATGGGAAACATGACTTCCAGTTATGAACGTTCCAATTTTAAGTTTGAAACTTGAGGTACCACTCGATGCTGTTTACAGACAAGTATTGCCTTCCCTTTTTGCCCTCAATTATTTCAGGACACAATTTATTGATGATGATGATTCTCATCTCTAAAAGGCACTGAACCAAACGTCACCGCACCGAGATCCTTCCTGAGCCCTTTTTTGCTGATCGTGTGTTATTATAATGATTAGCAGAGCCATGCTGCTTTGCACAAAACTGGAAAGTCAGACTTTTCGCAGATTGGACTTGTTAAAATGAAATGGAATGCTATAAAAAAAAAAAAGATCGATTTTTATTCGAAAAATTGGAGTGAATCGATCCAACCTTGATATTTAACACAACCTGTCCGCAGGTTGATAAATTGTTCATAAAAGCTGTTCTGCTGGCAGTCAAGTTGGCCTTTGTTCGATTGAAAGGTTTTGAGCTCAGTATTCCCCAATGCAGTTGTGGGGGAGGAGGGAGTCATTGATAGTTTCTTGCCAACATATGACCGGACTACCTGATGGCTCCCGCCAATCTACATTGTAGGAATATAGTATGAATCTCCGCTTCCACCCCCAACTCCCGTCATGGCTGTTTTCACCCTTTTATGCTTTTTCACTTGGAGCCTTTCCTTCATTTTTCACCGATCGTCATCACTTTCCTTTGCGGTTTGGAACCAACCCTCCCCTTTTGCTTCACCTTCAGCTGATCTCCTCAAAAGTCCCCAAAGCGGAGTACGTACCCACAATAATCCGCAGGGATGACCCGTCCATCATCCCCATCCTCTACGTGAGTCAAACACTGAAAATGCCGTCAGGACACGCATGTCTTTTTCTGATAAATGCTGTCTCTTGTCATTCAGGACCATGAACATGCAACTTTTGATGACATTTTAGGTGAGTCAGTCTTTCCACTGCCTTTTTTTGCATTAAAAAATATATTTGAAATAATAAGAATCTATTCAGTGCATTTTTTAAAATTCAGTAAATTTTAATTACCGTATTTTCGGTTTTTGGGGGGCTAAAAACAGCTGACTATACATGGTCGCTTTTTGGGGGTGAAAAACGCCTGACTATATATACATGGTCGTTTTTTTCAGCTAAAAACGCCTTAGTATGCATGGTCGTTTTTTGGGGGAAAGAATGCCTTCCTATACATGGTCGTTTTTTTCGGCAATCAATACCAAGGCGTTTAAAACAGAAAAAACGACCATGTATACTAAGGCGCTTTTAGACCCAAAAAAACGACCATGTATAGTAAGGCATTTTTAGCCGAAAAAAACAACCGTGTATAGGAAGGCGTTTTTAGACCCAAAAAAACGACCATGTATAGTAAGGCATTTTTCAGCCGAAAAAACGACCATGTATACTAAGGCGCTTTTAGACCCAAAAAAACGACCATGTATAGTAAGGTATTTTTTAGCCGAAAAAACAACCATGTATACTAAGGCGCTTTTAGACCCAAAAAAACGACCATGTATCGTAAGGCATTTTTTAGCCGAAAAAACGACCATGTATACTAAGGCGCTTTTAGCCCCCAAAAAAACGACCATATATCATAAGGCGTTTTTTTGCCGAAATAAACGACCAAGTACACTAAGGCATTTTTAGCCGAAAAAAACAGCTATGTAAAGTAAGGCGTTTATAGCCGAAAAAAACGACCGTGTATAGTAAGGCGTTTTTCGACCCAAAAAAACGACCATGTATAGTAAGGCATTTTTTTATCCGAAAAAACGACCGTGTATACTAAGGCGCTTTTAGCCCCCAAAAAACGACCATATATCGTAAGGCGTTTTTTTGCCAAAATAAACGACCAAGTACACGAAGGCATTTTTAGCCGAAAAAAACAGCCATGTATAGTAAGGCGTTTTTAGACCCAAAAAAACGACCATGTATATAGGAAGGCATTTTTTCGCCGAAAAAACGACCATGTATGGTAAGGCGTTTTTTTTGCCGAAATAAACGACCAAGTATACTAAGGCGTTTTTAGTCGAAAAAAACGACCATGTGTAGTCAGGCGTTTTTAGCTGAAAAAAACGACCATGTATAGTAAGGCGTTTTTAGCCGAAAAAAACGACATAGTATAGTAAGGCGTTTTTAGACCCAAAACACGACCATGTATATAGGAAGGCATTTTTTCGCCGAAAAAACGACCATGTATCGTAAGGCGTTTATTTTGCCGAAATAAACGACCAAGTATACGAAGGCGTTTTTAGTCGAAAAAAACGACCATGTGTAGTCAGGCGTTTTTAGCTGAAAAAAAACAACCATGTATACTAAGGCGTTTTTGGCTGAAAAAAAACGACCATATATAGTGAGGCGTTTTTGCCCGTAAAAACGACCATGTATAGTAAAGCGTTTTTAGCTGAAAAAAGCGACCATGTATAGTAAGGCGTTTTTAGTGGAAAAAAAACGACCATGTGTAGTAAGGCGTTTTTAACTGAAAAAAAACGACCATGTATACAAAAGCGTTTTTGGCCAAAAAAAACGACCATGTATACTAAGACGTTTTTGGCCGAAAAAAAAGACCATGTATACGAAGGCGTTTTTGCCCGAAAACAATGACCATGTATCGTAAGGCGTTTTTAGCGGAAAAAAACGACCTAGTAGAGTCAGGCGTTTTTGCCCGAAAAAAAACGACCATGTATACTAAGACGTTTTTGGCTGAAAAAAAAGACCATGTATTAAGGCGTTTTTGCCCGAAAACAATGACCATGTATCGTAAGGCGTTTTTAGCAGAAAAAAACGACCATGTATGGCATACATGGGCAGAAAAAAATTACCATGTATAGTAAGGTGTTTTTAGTCGGGAAAAAAACGACCAGTATAGTCAGGCGTTTTTAGCTGGAAAAAACGACCATGTATAGTAAGGCGTTTTTAGCCTGAAAAAAACGACCATGTATATATAGTAAGGCGTTTTTAGTAAAAAAAAAAAAAAATTTCCATGGTCATTTTTTTCAGGTAAAAACGGTCGGAAGGCGCTTTTAGACCCAAAAAAAAACGACCATATATAGTAAGGCATTTTTAGCCGAAAAAAACAACCGTGTACAGGAAGGCGTTTTTAGACCCAAAAAAACGACCATGTATAGTAAGGTATTTTTCAGCCGAAAAAACGACCATGGAATGACCACGAAAAAATGGAAAAAATGACCACGTTTTTAGCACGAAAAAAACGTGCCAAAAACGCCTTACTATACTATGTCGTTTTTTTCGGCTAAAAAATGCCTTACTATACTATGTCGTTTTTTTTCGTGCCAAAAACGCCTTACTATACTATGTCGTTTTTTT